AAAAAAAAAAAAAAAAAAAGACAGAATAAAAAAACCAAAACCTCCACCATGTTAAGCCCCTGAGCTTTGAAGATTGTTACAGCTGCCGGAGTAACAGATGCAGAGAGTCGCTGAAATGATTATAGCTTTATTCCAAGGAAATGCAGCTTTCATTCTCTAGGCTTTGCTTTCGTCATCTGACCAGTGGTTTTCAAGGTCAGGTAAAAGGAAGCTGGGGTGGGACTAGCCATCTTCCGGCCTCCACAGCTCACTGCTCAGTGACACTCTTACCCTGCTGCCGCTCTGTCCATCTCCCTACAGTCAGTCAACACACAGTCCTGGCCAGCCACCTACAGGCACCCAGGCCAGCCACCCACGGTCCACTGACCACTCACTCGTCCTCATGCAGTCTCCCACCCACACCGCCCACCGGCCAACCATTCCCATTCCCATCCTGCAGGCTGACTGTGCACACCCCCAGGGGCTCCGCTGGTTAAGTGGTGAGTGCCCGCCTCCACGCACCCTGGGAAGTGCCCCGTAAACCCAGAGAGGCCCATGCGCTGCCTCCTGTGCCCTGAGACCACGGTCACCGCCCCTCCCTCACTCACCCCGGGGGCGGGTCACAGCCATGACCATGATGGGGACGCCAATACCCGAGGCCAGGACCCAGATGCAGATGTTGATCAGCCTGGCCTTGGCAGGTGTGCGGAAGTCCAGGGCCTTGACCGGGTGGCAGACGGCGATGTAACGGTCAACACTCATCATGGTGAGCGTGAAGATGCTGGTGAACATGTTGTAGTAGTCGATGGACAGCACGGCCTTGCAGAGCAGCTCCCCAAAGGGCCACGTCTCCATCAGGTACTTGGCGCTCTGGAAGGGCAGCGTGCTGGTGGCCAGCGCGTCGGCCAAGGCCAGGTTAAAGATGTAGATGTTGGTTGCTGTCTTCAGCTTAGTGTACCTTACAAGGAAGTGCATGGGTCATTATCCTATTTCACAGATTTCAGCTTCCATTAAACACAGGGGTACAGTGATGTGTCCAAGGTCACACCAAAGGTCAAGGGCAGGTCCTGAACCATCTGATTCAGCATCACTCCAGCCGACTACAACAGACACAGAGGGATTTCTCTGGTTGTGGATAACTTTGGCAGAAGGTATTTTAGGAAAAACCATATTTTCTGAGAGGTCCTAAGCAACTCGGTTTCAGAAAGAACTGACTCCAGAGGAAAACAGGTTGGGGTTCTAATCCTGCTTCTACTGTATATTGGCTGAGTGACTCTGAGTAGTAGCTTGAGGTCTCTGCGCCTCAGTAACTGTAACTATAGAAAGAGGGTAAATACTTGAACCAGCCTCTTGGGATGGTTGTGAAAATTTAATGAGATAATATAGAACTTAGCCCTGAGCCCAGTGGTTGGTAAATGTGCAGAACAAGAGGTATAGCTCAGTGGGAGAGCACTTGCCTAGTAGGGGTGCTGCCCTAAGTTTGATCCCGGCACTGCAAAAGAAAAAACCAAACCATGCAGGCCAGTATAACTGTTATTCTTCATCTGCAGAGAATGAAGCCAGGCTCGGGGGTTGGGGGGAGGGCGAGATTCTCCAACTTCCACCAACTTCCACCTGGCCTCCTGGGAATACAACTGGCGACATCTGAAGAACGGGCTCTGCCTGGTAGCTGAAGACCCCTGGGGTGTCCCCGTAGCAGACCAGGGCTCCTGGTCCTTCCTTGGCCCATCCAGACCTTCTCATCCCCACAAAGCTGGACACCACCCTCTGGAAGCCTCCATGCGCGCCTCTCCCCAGTGGTGTGGGAAAGGTGGGCCGCTGACAGTGTCACATAGAAACCCGGGCAGGGGCCAGGTATCAAGCCTGATGTGTGTGACCAAGCGCTGCACCCCACCCTCCCGGCTTCCCCCAGGCTCTGTGCTGCACACAGCTGCCTCCACCACAGCTGGCCTTTGTCTGGCCAGTATTTACAGTCACGGGTCCTTTGGCAGCAGGGCCTGGGCTGGGCACTGGGAAGCGGGCGAGACTGCCCGGCCCGGTACACTCATCACAGACACACAGGCCCACTAACGCAGGGCTAAGGTCTTCCTCCTGCCCCGGACTGATCTGCGACACCCAGGGGAAGGCTCCACCGCGTGAACAAGTCCTCCCATTCCAGGACAGGAGGTGCCTTGCAAGACTGCGGGGAAGCGATTTATAGAGGTGGGGTCTGAGGCCTCCCTTCTCAATCACAGCAGAGCCTGTGGGTAAAACGCAGACTCCAGGAGCCCAGATCTGCTAAACTGTTGTTAATGAATCTCTAGCACGGGGCCCAGCAATCTCCATCTTTAACAAGCATGCCTCCACCTGCAGCGCGCCTGACAAACTCTAGTGGCTGGAGAGTCACTAGGCAGACTGGGGAGAGACAGGGAAACTGAGGCCCAGAGAGGCAGCACAACCCACCCAAGGTCACACAGCAAAGGTGGCAGAGTCAAGGCAAGAGCTTGGACCTCCTGACTCCACGTGTATCTCTCTACTCCACCCCAGGTTGAGGTCACACTGTGTGCCTCTCCTTACTTCCTTCCAGTCCTCCTGAGGCCACCCAGGAAGAGGGTACAGTACAGTACTCAACATCTGTGAATGACGGCTGAACAATCTCACATCTGCTAACGCTGTTTCTTCAAGAAGTGATGGGGCTCTTTTTGGTTTAAAGCACACGGACTCACGCGTTGTCCTCCATGGCCAGCATCTGTCCCACTCCCTCCCAAAATAGCTGCGATTTGCTCTGGCGCCCGGGAAGCAAAAAGTTTTGCTGGGAGACAGCAGAATCGCAAGTCTCGGGAAGCCTGTCTTGAGCGAGCGGATCCCAGCTGTGTGGGAGGCGGTCTCAAGCCCACAGCTGACTGTCTAATTTCTCTGCTCTTACGCAGAACAATTCGAGGTTGTTCTCTGCGTGCTATTTTGATTTGTGAACGACGCTGCATTCCCGGAGGAGGCTGGGGCGCGGCGAAGCAGGAGCTGAAGCTTCTGCGGCTGGGCCGGGTGGGGCCGCACGGCTCAGCGCAGGCGGGGGCGGGGTCAGCCGGGCTGCGCCCCAACCCCTCTCCTCCTCTCCGGCTCCCTCTCGAGGTCCCACTACCACGCCCTGTACTGATAGCACCTTCTCCAGCCACGAGACAACATGCCGCAGTCCCTCCCATACTCTCTGTTCCCACAGGCTGGCCCCGGCCACCTCTAGGTCCCCAGCTTTCCACACCTGCCCCTCGACTGATGGCCCCCGCCCCCACTGCTGTTTCTTCTCTGCGGTCGTCGGTCATGTCCAGCGCACCGCTCACCCCAGCTCAGGCCCTCCAGACTTACCGCTCCCTCCCGCTGCTACCATCATCTCTAAATGTCCCCTGCCCCACCACCCTAGCTACAGTGTACCTCTCCCTGCCAGGGCCCTCTGGCTCTTCAGCTGTGTCACTTCTTAGGGGGTGGTGGGGGTGGTACTGGGGATGGAAGCCAAGGCCTCACACATGTTAGGCAAGCACTGTACCACTAAGCTATGTCCTCAGATCTTTTTCTTTCCTTAAACTTTGAGACGGGGCCTTGCTAAGTTACCTAGGCTGGCCTTGAATTTGAGATCCTCCTGCCTCAGCCTCCCAAGCAGCTGGGATTACAGACCTATGCCACCACACCTGGTTGCTTTGCTTCTCTTTATAGCACAAAGTGCGCCCTCACACTGTCTCTAAAACAGCTGTCTTCTTCTCTGTCCATGGAGCTCTGTTGCCCAAAGAAGCTCTCCGAAGGTAGGTAACTCTGTTTTGTTCCCTGCCACCACTAGTGCAAATCGCAGGCTTCTGTGGACATCCGTCATAGGGATGTCTTACTGCAGGGCTCTTCAAGTCTCACGAGGATCAGAGCAGCAGCCTTTCTCCCAGGTTTATCACCCGTGGGAGTCGGGAGCTCACTCTGCAAGACAAACCTACTCAGGACACTATTCTTGCGACCTCCCTGGGCTCCCCAGTGCCATCAGCACACCCTCTGGGCCGCCTCCTTCCCTCCAGCACCTTCCCACATCCTGATCTATAGTTCCTCCACCGTTCTGTCCAGCCCACCCTCCCTCCCAAGAGACACTCACTGGGACCGTTTGGTGGGGACCCTTCTAAGCTACGCATACGAAAGCAGATTTTTAGAAAATTTCTTGTCTTCCAGTGTAGTACAGAATGTAAAAAGCCATCAAGTACTAATAAAAAGTCGCCCCTGGGGCTGGGGACTTAGCTCAGCGGCACAGCGCCCGCCTGGCAAGCGCGAGGTCGTGAGTTCAATTCCCAGTACCGGAAAAAAACTAAAAAAAAAAAAGTTGCCCCTCTGCCCAGCTTTCCTCTCTCCTCTGCCCAGCCCCGATTAATGTTTTTAATTATTCATCCAGGGGGATTACCTCCATAGTTCCAAAGATGTTTAAATGGCTATTTCTTGATTTACCAACTTCAGTATTTGCTGTACTCAGCATTTGCAGTGTTTGCTAAAGTCTGTATGTGGGTAGCCAAGGCTGTGGGGGGGCAGCAGCAAACAATTCCAAAGTCTCAGGCGCGGAGCACATTAAAGGTTTACAGGGAAGCCTTCATTTACAAACTCACTTAATTTCCGAGGGCTGGTTGTAACTCAAGTTCGTGGTAAGTCAAGGCTACTTTTCTCATAAGAAATCAGGGAAATACCTGTAATACATTCTGAACCTTCCAAAGCATCCCTTAACTAACCTCATAATAAAAAAAGACTTGTATAATGTGTGTAATTCACCAGAAACAACAACCATTTTCCTAGTGTATTCACCAAAGAGTTATAAAATGTGCCTCGTTTACCAGAAACAATCCCAAACTGTACTCACCACTCCAGCTGGCATCTTTGGCCTGCAGGGAGGCAGGATGGAATGGAAGGCAGTTATTGTTGGGAAGGAGAGTCCCCTTCCACACGAACATTGGGACTCTGGCTCTCTGTGTCCTTTCTCTCCTTGGGACAGTCAGTGGTCCACTAGGACCTGCTTCTGGCTCACTAAGTCTCAACCTTTTCAGAACTAAACACTGGTCTAAGGTTGTCTGTATCTTTTCTTTTTCTTCTTCTTCTTCTTTTTTTTTTTTTTTCGTCTTTTTGAGACAGAGTCTCGCTTTGCAGTTCAGCCTGGCCTTGATCTTACTTTGTAGTCCAGGCTGGTCTTGAATTTGCAACGATCCTCCTGCCTCAGCCTCCCAAGTGCTGGGATTACAGGCATGCACCACCATGCCCAGCTTGTGTCTTTTCTTTAACATTGCTCTTTTCAATTGTGATTGCTTTCTTTCCCTTCCCTTCCTTCCTTAGTGTTATGGTTTGTGTTTGGGTGTCCCCCCACAGCCACATGCAGTCACGGGGTGGGCTTTTAGCGTTTATGATTGATTCATGGTCCAATGCTGGAATTATGGATGTGAGCACTACACCTGCCCTGGGGTGGGTAGTTTGCATACAGTGTAAGGGAGGAAAAGAGGCTGCTTGCTGCTGCTTCTCCCTTTTGCTCTGGTTGCTTTGGCTGTCTTCTGCCGCCATGAACAGTTGCCCTCTGCCATGTGCCACCCTGCCTTGGAGCCAGCCAAGTATGGACTAAAACCTCCACAAACTGTAAGCTTAACCTTTCCTTCCTTAATTTTGGGCATTGGGTATTTTGTCTCAGCAACAAGAGAAAAGTAACCAAGACACTTGGCTTCTTTTCTAGCTTTTTGGGGGCCATTCTGATACCAGTAATCACAGCAAATATATGAAGCACATCCACAAACACACGCATCTGTGCTCAGAGGGATGCTTACATATACTTACATATGCTTTTTTGGCGTCAGGAGTCTTTGTTTACAGCCAGACAGGCGGCCAGCATTGGAGTCATCACTCAAGACTTTGGTCGTAGGTCAAACCTAAAATTGCGGTCCTAACCCAAGTTGTTCGAACTTGAGGCCGGTTGTTACTTCAGGGTCC